ATCAAAATCCGTTGCGTAGTTTTAAAGATCTAAGCATACATACGGACATACAGCGAAAGCGACTTTGTTTTATACTATGTATTGATATTGATATTCAATAGTACCAATTTTAGATACCGATTTTTTATTGTTTAATCATGTATGATTTTTTTAGTTTTCAGAAAGTCATACTCATGCCCAATAGCTAATTAGTATTATCTAATCTATTTCATAACTTGACCTAATATTTTTCTAAAACACGCAATTTGTTTACGTTCTACTAAGTTCTAAGATAAATTAAGTAGCAATTATCCTAACCACATTTAATAGATTAAAAAAGAACTTTTCGAACGATCTAGAACGTTATTTTAAATCTATTTTTTTTACTTTTTTTAGCGTGAGAGAGATACCATAAACATTCTAAGCAGACGGAACCATTACAGAAGCTTTATTTACCACATGGTGAATAATAATTTTCTTGTTACTGACTCATTACCTAGGCACTAGACAAGCCTGTGTGTAAGTTTCCATAATAAAACTTGTTGAGAAACGAGTGACTTGTTGGAGCAATGATAATATACCATGGCGTGGTTACACATGTTTCATTACGTATCTACATCCATCCTTAATATATATATAAAGTTGAAGATTTGTATGAACGTTGTATCCTAGGAGGAACTAACGGTTCGATTTGAAAAATTCTTTGTATTGGATAGTCCAAAACATCGTAAGGAAACCTGGGCTTATAATTTCTAACTATAATTTTGTAATCGCCAACCCGCATTGAGCAAGCGTGGTAATTAATGCTCAAACCTTCTCCATGTGAGAAGAGGCTTTGATCAGCAGTGGGCACTCATAGGCTGTTGATGATGATGATATTCCATTCATCGAGGAAGGCTATAGATATGCTATAAAACACCACGCTGCGACTAAAAGGGCCGAGCAAAACGTGAACCTGCGCGGGAACAACTAGTTTGTGTATAAATAACGTAGTACTTAAGGCACGTGTTATTTATCTTCCAGATATTATAATCTAATAGACGTAGACACTAGACGAATAACAGTGTTGATAAATTTATTTACTTTGTATAGGTGTACAATCTCAGACAAATCACCCTTCAGGCGTCTGTTTGTCTGTCTGTCTCAGTAAATCATAATCATGGCGCGATGTTCTGTTTGCGGTCAGTATTAATAGACATGTTAATTATAGTTTTCATGTATCTGTTCACAATGGTGCTATAATGTGTTCATGTGTGGCATTTACTGGAAATCACGTGGTAATATAGCATACAGAATACATCATTGTTTGTTTATTTGCCACGGCCATATTGTAACCATTTTGATACCATTCCGTCTTGAATTTGGACTTAAATACTTTAAAGTTGAGATAATAAATGGAATGTAACTTACATGCACTGGCATCCATCGCACCCCTATCGCATATAATTAAGCAATCCCTCTGGCAAGTCCTGCCCAGCTCGAAGAACGTGTTCTCAATCTGTATCATAGTCCTTAGAAGGTTCTCCTGGAATTTCATTGCTGTAACAAAGAATACATAATTATTAATACAAAGGCTCAATAATGTCTGCATTTATCTATTGTTATAGGTGATCCTGATGACGCTAATGCAGAAATATGTTCGCAACAATAAACAAAGCATTCACGAAGCTATTACTTGTGAGAATTTTGTTATTTTTACAAAATCATGTTATGTCTCAAATGCAAGGCTTGTTAGGGTATGATATGTATAACTAATGTAAACAGAAAACGAATTAACTCTTGCCCTGAGAAAGTACAGAAGATCAAAGTTTACAGGTATTCTAAACAATAAACATGCTGTAATAAGATAAACTGTGGATGACGACACAGCCCGCATACACAGAAAAAAAACACCTAGAAAAGTCTGTATGTATTTTTACCCAGCTGAAGAAATGGTATTGTGTTACTTATGTACAGTACAGCCGATTTATTATACTTTAAGGACTTTTAGAACTGTGCCATCGATAATACAATTATTTTTGAAAATTCTATGTCAAAACGTTACATAGTATTTCAGCAAGTTACCAATTAGAATGAGAGAGAAATGTGGGTGCGACTTTAAAAGGTCAAAAGAATAAAACGGTCGTGATGGAATAAGAAATACGTTTTCTAGAACAATAACCTATGTAGTCAAATATTGAAATGGAGCCAACGGCACACGTGGACTGTGAAAAGCTGTGATATATATTACATACATACATACTTATGAATAAGTAGGTAAACGTGCAACTTTTAATAAAACCGCTAAAGTAAGCAAACTATTGATAATGGAATTCCCCTGGTGCGAGAACTGTTATCCTTTTATCAATTATGTACTTTAATAGATTAAATTGACTGAAGAGTAAGAACGACAATAAAAATCTTGACGGACAAATATCGTTAAGTGCTCTATTGTTACGTGTACATAATTCTAGGCTATATACATAATACAGGATTAGTTCGCGTGTTAATTTATAAGATGTTTACACCGCAGTAATTGGATAATCTTGGCTTTCGAAAGGTCAACAAAGATTTAGGTGTGATACATTAACGTTATTAAATTATAACGCTTATCCGGCGAATAAACATAAAAATTGATATTGGGACAATATAGCTATCAGATAACAGTTTAGGAAATGACTAATACAAAGGAATACGTTAATTTCCTGCAGGAAATGGTGTACAGAGGCTTCAAAGAGTATAAAAGAGAATATCTTATTCCAAATCTCTGAAAGTTCGTTTGATATTCTGTTTCATTTAGTGAAAACGTTGAAGGTATGCTGTCTGGCAAATTACCTGCTGCATAATAAACGATGTCAGTAAAGCTCATTTATCTACATTAAGTTATTTGGATAATCCAAACGTTTTGGAAAGACATGAACGTCGAACGCAATTTACGGCACGATCTATTACAATGAATGTCGTAGGTACAAAAGCTAACACAATTAAATTTAGTGAAGTAAAGTCACGCACGCGATGTAAATTTCCAAAATGGCCGGAAATTGAATGGGTGTCTCGTTCAAGAGAACGTGACTGAAAATAGTCAAGTAGGTAAGACAGAGCGCACTATCACCGGTGCATCATAAAAGACGACATGAATAAAAGATAGCTATAAAAACGACGTAGTCCTACTTCCTACAGCAAGTGTATAAAATATACAAGCCCTGTCTAGCTCTATTTCATATATATTTCTTATTACGCTAGAGAATTAGCCATTTAGCTAAACTTAAAATGATTTATAATAAAGACTGAATAATTGACATGTTAATTTTTCCATGTTGCTATTTCCCTGAGTTTTGGACAGTGAGGACGATGAGCACGAGGCTTATGATATGACGCAATGGGCCAGTGACGCGACATGGCGCGGCGTGCGGAACACATATTATCACCTACAAATCACTGTTAACGACCCCGACAGACACCATTGTCATAGTAAATGCCAAAAAATAGGCACGAATATAGATTTCACAATAAAAACTTTATATGCTAAACAATTATAATCTTGCGTGATCATTTGAAATCATAGCACGAGTGATTCTCGTGATAACTTAATAATAATAAGCATTTAAATCATTCATGAAATGTTAGTAATGTTTTATGGAATCTGATCTAACTAGTATCCTATCTATAATATCGTAGATAAAACACGTGTCCATTGCCAAATGCCGTCTTAACGTGCAGAATTCTATATTAGGTATATCACCGGGTTTTAAATGGCAACGATCTTATAGCTATTAAGAGGGCACAGCGTCTAGAGGTATCCTGTTTATGTAAGACGATTCCGATTCTGGTCGTAACAGAGCTGTAATGTAGACAACATGAATACCGCCGGTTTATACTGCATTACAATTACTCCAGTAAATATTTATTAATTGTCAGTTGGTAACAAGAAACAAGCATGAGAACTGAGAAGGATGTGGAGCAAATTATTGTGAAGCTGGTTGATCAGTTTACAAAAATATTTCAACACAATACTGAAAAGAAATGATTGACAGTGTCTGTAGTAAATAGCTAAAGGACGTTGCCTTGGAATTTGTCTATTTAAAAATAATAAAGTAAATTATTTCAGCGAGGGGCGTGCTGGGAGACTAATTCGGCCCTGATTGTCTGCTGCGTTTTATTTTCAGCGCCATACCAATGAACTCGTACTGGATGAGGACGATTCATGTCTTCAGTGGCCACGTGTTTTATTAAATCTACGAGTAATTGTTAGATAATAAATATCAAGAATAATTTCAAAAGTGGGGCACATTTGGGAAAGTTTGGTATAAATGTAGGAGTGTACATTGGCGACAGCTGCCTAGACAATTTTATGACGTTGTTAGAATATATAACGAACGCAATGACGACGTATATCGTCAGTATTAAAAAAGAAATGGGCTTTAAAAAGTACATTAAAGATAATGGTATAATCTATAACCTCATAATACACGTTTCAACAAACATACTTAACTTAGGATAATTTATAATTATAATTAGAATTAGAGCCTCTCTCATATTATGTACTTGTTTTACTAGTCATACCCGTAAATACCTACTGCAGAGTGGACACTCAGGTATCACATGATAGATAAGAAAAAAATCTATAGCCATGAACTTGATAAAACATCATTGTTTTTGTTAAGTGTTATATAAAAAATATAACGTAAAATGGCGGAAATAATTCTAGCTGTTTTATTGTAAAGGGAAGGATAGTAATAAAGAAATAGGTAAATGACAAATGAGGAAGACAAGAGTTTAATTAATTTTCCTTCTTCGAATAAAAAGATTTACTTCTTAAAATCTGTATTGTACTGTCGGACTTTTTTCCCGTAATTGCAGTCAGGGTGATGAATCGAGGCCAAAACTAAATGCTTTTACACCACGAACGGAATGGTACAATTTTTCATTTTATAGTTCCCTTTAACAAAAAGTCACAATGTTATTCTGTTAAATTACTTGCAATTATATTCGCAGGATATTAAATGTACGTTTTCGTTTAACTGAGATTCATTGTTTATAATTTTTAAAATACACCCCGACGAAATATTTAGTTTAAACCGGATTCGTATGCCAAAGGTGCGAGGGTCCATCTCCATACATATCTATTTTCGATAAAAACTTAAAAGCAAACCCTGATAACGCTATCTGTCTTGAAAAATTGAGTAAAGAATCCAGTTTAAAAATTACGTGTTAGAAGTTATTTTAATACGAAGGACATAAAGTCTTGTACTATAAATGATAACGTGGAAATCAAAATCAAATTTATTTTCGTATCGCGTGATTTGTTTTCATGACTTTCATGCACTATTCAAATTTCATTATTCATCGTTATTTGAGCAATCTTACGTTTCATTTGTACAGCGTATCGACGTTATTTTATGGCTCAGTAATATTCCCTGAAGCTTTGAACAAGGGAATTTTTTGTTAGTTTCGTTATAATTAAAGACAGATTGAAGATGAATGGTATTCAGAACAGCAAATCATCGCTTTAGAATAATTTAAATGTTTTAAAGTAAAGAAATCTTTTTTGTAAAGATTCCTGTCTGTCTGTTCCACAGAATGTTTGGCAGCTCTCTTGTGTACATTGACCAACACGCCTCCACTGACGTCAATGGCCAAAAAATCAAGTTTCAACGCTTACACGTCATCAGAAGCCAAACAAAGCTTTGTATACCTGTAGTGAACCTAATTAGGTGGTCATGCTATAACGAGAAAAAAGGCATCATTAAGATGTGACAAAATTTGTTACAGATGGCTTCATAAGCTCTAAAATTACATACAGCATGGTTATATATGGTTGTTGGCACCATACCAATACCTAACCGATTTAATTCACAGCAAAAACTTCTAAATAAACGGTCTGTGCCATTGATCTTATTAATAACAGATGCGAGTCGTTATCACTGCGACAAACTTCGATTGCGTGACGTGACGAAATGGATGTAGACTGGGATTCGTCGTACAGCTTGTTTACCTTCTGATTAAATTTGCTCATCTAATAAACAACAGTTTATTATGTCTATTGAACAAGTTGATATAGCAACTAATACTGCCACGAGCTACCTAATTTGATAAGAGCCGAGCTATGTAGGTAAATATAATATGAACAGTTTGAGCAATTAGTGAGAGATCGATGACCCTAAAAGGGAGGTAGGTGGTTTTAGCGTAATAGAACAATAGCTTCCAGTCTGACATTGTTACCGACTCACCGCCGACCCCATCGCTCGTTTGGGCAACAGCCGCGGCAGTACACCATTTGCAATTTGTAGGGCACATGTCAACTGTAACACTTATCGACGGATCTGCCACAATATTCATTATCAGTTACTTTTATTGAAGTAGGTCTGTGGGTACTTACGTCTCACATCTTCACGCAATTGAATGTGATAAGAGCGTTTATGTTTATTAGCAAACAAACATGTCTCCAATACCAATACAAACGAGCTTTGCTTCCTGAATTAGTTTACAAAAAACTAGATTTAAAGAAACGAATGTCTTTGTGATTGGATGATGAGATACACAAGTGAATCATAAAAAGT